TCAGACTTGGGAACAGCACGTTTGGCCATGAGCCGGCAGCGATGCACAGGCATGGGTACCCAGCCCTCCTTGATCTCCCCCACCTTCCTGCCCAGATGGACTTGCAGCTTATTTTCCGGATGCTTCTTGTCTGGGTCCCCGGTTGCAGAACTTACTGATTGGTTCTTCCAGGCCCTCCTGAGGTCACCTTCTGCCTCCTGCTTGTCTTCCTCCAGAAGCTTCACTGAGGTTCTTCCTGAGCCTCTGGGTGGATCTGCTGGGATCCTCTCCAGCTTTTGCCCTCAATCCCGGCTTGGGTCTGGCTCTCGTTTGGACCTTAAGCACCCCTTCCCAGAGAACCTTCCAGAGCTCTTGAATCTTGTCTTCTGCCCATCCTCTCTGTGCTTCCCCGAAAACTCAGAAGGCTAGGAGGGCAGGCAGGCCTCCTGCGTGTCTTCTGCCTGATGCTGAGGACTCCGTGGGAATTCCCCCCAGGGTGGCCGTGGGTCTCCAGGTGGCCAGAATCTGCCAGGCGAGCCACGGGGCTGCTCCTGGTGGATGGCACTCCTTCCTCGCCACCAGTGCTCTAGGAGCTCAGGCCTGGTGGCAGCCCTGGAAAGGATGGGGGCTGACTTGGGGCTGTGGGGGGCCAGCCTCTCCTGGGGAAGGTGGGCAGTGAGTTCACTCAGGACAGCCTGAGACCTTTGGAGGAGAGAGGGCAAAACCCTCTTCCACTTTGGTTGCTTCTGCAAGGGCCATTCAAGATACTCCTTTCCAGTGGGGGTGGCAGAAAGGAGTATCCCAGCCCTCTGCTGGGATGTGAGGCAAGATGCCCCACAGCCCCTAATCTGGGGTGGAGAAGAGCACAGTAGGCTTGGGACACGGGGTGAGAAGTGGGCCTGGGTCTGGATCCCAGCCAGAGGCAGAGGCTGGGGCTGGGGCCTGGCTGAAGTGAAAGGTTGAGGCTGGGCCACGTGGTGGGGCTAGGGTGGTGCCTGGGGAAGTTGTGAGGATGTCTCAACCTCAGGTTCACGTGGAAGAGAAGTGGCAGCTTCATGGAATGATACCGTTTCTGTTTCCTGAGGAAGCCTCCTTCGAAACCAAGGCCGCGGCCACCAGGAACTCACTGTTGAAAGAGGGGAGGTCCCAGAAGAGCTGGCTGCATTTCTGCTGAAAGTGGTCCCCCATGGCCGTGGCATCAGAGACCTGCTGCGGACTGGGCGGCTCCTGTGATTGGGCTGTCTGGTTCCAGAAGGCATCGGGCATCGTGGCGTCCCACTCCTTCCGCAGTGGTGTCATCTGCGGGCAGTCTGCCCCCTTCCCTTCTTTCTCCTGCCGCAGCTTCATCACTGCCTTCTTGGTGATGACAGTCTCCAGCAGCTTCTGCAGGTCAGGGTGGATGAATGTGCACTCACCTGCCTCCGTCTGCCTGGGTGTGGGGTCTCCCCAGAAGGAAGCCTCTGTGGGGGTGGTTGGGAAGATGCTGTTGCTGGAATTTGCCATGTGAGCAGGTGGAGAGGCCCCACATGGTGGCAGCCTCCTTACACTAGGAGAGGTCCCCGGTGGGCTCACTGGAGCGCCCAAGTCCAGAGATCACCGTGGTTGGAGCCGGCGGCCGCTGCTGGTGTGGAGGGGAGCTGTGGGGGCCGGGGTGTGTTGTGGAGCCACAAGGAAGTCCAGCCAGGCTGGAGGCACGTGGGGGTGGAGAGGAGGCCTATAGGGCTGTGGCGAAGGAGGAAGAAGCACATGTGGCTGGGTTGCAGGGCGTTTTAGGGGAGGCAAGATCTCTGATGGCCTGGCAGCACTCAGGGTTGAGTGTAATCCAAAAGGCTCTGAGGAGGTCGTCGGGCCTGGTGACAGCGTGGAGGCCAGAGGAGCCAGGGAAGCTGGTGGGGACTAGCTGGCGGGAGGTGGGTCTTGCATACATTTCCCATGCGGCTGGGGACCCTGAGCAGGCGCTGGTTTGCACACGTCACCCGGGGTGTCTCCACCTAAGGGCGGATGGGAGCTGCCCTCACCCTAGAGCTTCCTCAGGTGGCTGCAGGAGACAGCAGGCACAGGCTGCAGCCAGGGGCAGGGGGTCCCCAGGCCGGGAGGGCTGGCACCTGGGGCCCACAGCCCTCCACCTCCCCAACGGCTGGCTTCACAAAGCTCTGCCTGCAGTTTACCGCCTCTTCTTTATCCTCTTCTGTCGCTTTTTCAGTCTCCTTGATTGTAATCTCCCTGACGCCCCCATGTTGTCCGTGAATCCTTCCAGGGATAGGCGGGGACGTTTAGCGGGTGAGGGCCCCACGTCTCTCTCCCACCTCCATTGCTCAGGAGGGACCAGTGGCAGCTGCTGGGGTTGCCCTGACCGTTTTGGTTGTCGGGAGCTGTGGCTGGCAGCTCTGGGTGGTGAAGAGCTGCTTGCTCCTAGAGCTTCAGCATGCTTGCGCTGGGCCTCCTTCCCCGCCAGCTTCAAGCCTGAGGACCTGGGCAGGTTGCCTTTCCCCAGCACCTGAGAGGCCGCCTTGTCTGGCCAATGGGAGCAGCCGGGAACCGGGCCAGGGAGCACTGCTGGAGCTGGGTCAGGCTTCCCAAAGCGAAGGACGCCTCTTGCAGAGCTGTGTGCGCGGGGCTCTCCATGGCCCTGGGAGCGGAGGCTCACCGCAGGTACAAGGGCCTTGCCAGACCTGTTTGTTTCTGTCAGGCTCCTGCTATGGACATTTTCCTTTAAGGCCCTGGGACTGCAGTCGAGGGAAGCGAGCTTTCCCTGAGTCTCCAGGGGCCTCGAGGTGGATGCTGCTCCCCCATTGCTAGATGGGCCCCCTTTCTCCTCCTCCTGCCCCTGGGTCTCTACCTGATCGTCCACCTCCATTGGTTCTTCCGGCTCTTCTTCTGCCCTCGCCTCCGTCTTCGGGATCGGGGCCAGCACTTGTAGCGAAGGCAGTTTCAGGGGAAACTTCAGTCTTAGACGAGGGATCCTGACGGTCCTGTCGCGTGCGAAGTGGTGTGGAGACAGCACGGGTTTCTCCCTGGAGAGGGGCCTGCAGACCAGAGGAGGCAGGTCCCGCAGATTGGCGCTCGAGTTCGGGATCTTCCAGCTGACTGGAAAACAAGGCCTAAGATCTCGGGGATAGTTGAAGAATCGAGAAGAGCGTAGGACTCCCCGGGCAGGCACACACGCAGGAGCTGCGGGGTGAACCCGGTGAGCCGAAAAGTCCTCATGGACAGGAGGGGACCATTGCGGTTGCCACCGCTGCCGGCGCCTGCGGTGGAGCCAGCTACGAAATCTGCTGAATAGATTTCCCATACTGCACCAGTTGTGCACGGACAGAAATCACAGTCAGAAATGGAGAGGGTACTCCTGAGTCACCCACTAGTCTGTGGCTGGGTGGGGCACTGGGCAGCTGGACTCTTATGACTTCTCAATGGGGCTGGTGACAGAGCAGGGTGTGGGGCAGTGCACAGGAGCCCAGCAAGAGCACCTACAGGTGGAGTCAAAGGGCACAGGGCGAGGCTCCCCACCCGTCTAGCTGGACTCTCTAGCCCCAGGGACGTCCTGCTCCTCTGGGCAGGTGTGTGGCCCTGGAGGGCCCCGCTGTGGGGCTGTGGGGCATGCGGGGCTGATCTACCAGAGCCCTTCCCACCTGGTGCCTGGTCCAGGCTCTGGCTGGCACCCAGTGGCCATGTCTTGGCTGGCCTTGTCCCCTGGGTTACAGTGCCAGACCCTGCTGGAAGCAGAGCTCAGGACTAGCCAGATCCAGCCAGGCTCCCCTAGGGCCTCAGTGCCTCTCTGCCGCCTGGAGCCAGGCCCGCCTTCTCCGTTGCGGTCCTGGCCTCTCCAGGCAGATTTCAGGAGAGGATACATGCCCTGGCTTGACTGGCTGCCGCCCCTTACCACTTCCCTTCCTGGCAGGCAGGGTCTCCACACAGCTCCAGATCACCCCACGCAGAGGAAACTGGGCCCCAGCACCTGCCCCGGGAAGGGCTGATGAGCCAGGGACGGGGCCTATCTCCCGCAGAGCCCTCGCCCCTCTCCTGAGCCTGTCCTCGCCACTAAGCCCGGTGTTGGTTTGTGTCCTGAAGCCTCCTGCCCACCCCACAGATGGCCTGGGAGCTGGGCAGGGAATCCTCTGCGCACTCTCACCCCACCTGCCCTGCCCTGCCCTGAGGGACCATGAGATTTCCCATCACAGAAGCGTCTCTCGTTCCTTAGGAAAAGTGGAAACGAGGGGAGGAAAACAAGAGAGAATCTTTCTCTGCGGGGCAGGGGTGAGGGTGGGTCACTGGGGAGGTGGGGGAGTAATAGGAAGAGGAGCCCCAGGGCACACACCCCAGTGAGGATAAGATCCATCACCCAAGGAGTGGAGCTGGGGCTCAGCCACGTGGCACTAGGGCTCTTCAGACAAAAGAGCATTTTTTTCATCTGAAGTGCACTGTCTCGTCTTCAAGCAACTGAGCCTTGGGCATCCCCTTTGGGACTAGGGACTGGGGCCCAGGCCTGCATCACATAGCTGGGGCTTCCTCCTCACAAAGGGCTCCTGGGTGCAGGGGAGGGGCAGTGGGAGGAGGGTGCTGAAGCACAGCCCCTCCCTTAGATCCCAGCCCTGGGTCCCTCCACCCCCCTGGGTCTACCAGGTCCTACTCCAGCAGCTCACCCTGTCAGAGACAGGCCTGGGTCCGTTTTCTATTCTGTCCCCTGGGACACCGGTGTCACCTTGTTCTCCTTGTCCCCTTAGAGATCTAGGCCTGAGCCCATCCATTTCATAGCCTTTGAAAATCTGAAATTCTCCCAGGAATTCAGGTTGTTTCCTAAGGATTATTTCAGAATCTCCTCTTTTCTCGTAATTTCCCCACACCGTACGTTTTCTACTTTCATCAACCCGGAATAGAGCTTTGAAATTCACAGAACTAAAAAGTATAATGAAAATGCAAACAAACCTCCAAATGACATTTTTTTAATTAGGAACATAATTTTGAGTTACCCAATGAAGGAGCTTGCTGTAACAAAACCACAAAACCACAAACTCTTTGACAAATTATGTTCAAAACAAGAATTAAGCCTTTACTTATTTTCTTTAGATCTTTTGTATGTTGCCCTGATCCATTTCTTCTTACTCTGCCCCAAATACAGTCCTCACTGTCCTGGGTTTTGGAACATGTGCGCTCCCACCATAAGCCAGGAGTGGCTTGGGATGACCCGAGGTCCAGCTCCTGTGAGTCAAGAGCGGGTCCGGGCACCCCATGCTTGGCTCAAGTCCAGCGTTCAGCGGCCTCTTCTGATCTCACTCATGTCCTCCATATAAATTGATTGCTTCACGCCATGTCCTGTCATTCACCTCCTGCCCGCTCCAGACCCCTGGGGCCTGATGTCTGGCCTGTACCTGATAGGAAGGATGCTTTGAGCCCTGGAGGAAGTGTTCTCATTATACTATTAGACATCTTTTGAAAGCAGACACTCAGGATTAGAGATTGCACTGTTTAATCGCTATGTGATAAATTTATGTAATACTTGAAAAGTGTTCTTGAAAATAATGTGCATCTTTGTCATGCGTTCTATATAGCCTCAATGGGAGTGAGACCATCTGAGTTTATTTGGGTCTGTTCTCATGAATGTGCACTTCAAGAGCATATCTTCTGTCTACAGTCTCTTCCTTTATGATATTGTCACTGGGGAGGTGTGACAGTCCCTGACACTCCCTAATGTGGTCAACTGGGTTAACTGGCAAGAGTGGAGACCCCAGGGATGCCTGCTAGGATCATTGAGAAGCATGGGGGTCCTAAGTTCTACTTCATTTGTAGGTGCCCTAAGCCTGAGAAGTGGGTCTCGCCTTGACTACATGATTGGGCTTGGGCACACAAGGAATCACCTGCCATCAGGCCACCGCCAGCTCACTAGGTGCACTCTGTGTGAGGAGCAGGGACTGGAGAGCCGAGGCAACGGGTCTCATTAATTCCCCATTTAGGGAAGATATTTGTTTTAGGTTCCATTCCTCCTCAAACCTGATGCTCTCCTTTCCGGATAAACAGAGGAGTGCATAGGTGTGGGGTTTCTCAGGCCCTGGTGGACTGTGTCCACGTCGCCATCCATGTGCCTCTCTTTCCTCCTCCACTCTGTGGGCTCAGCTCTCAACTGTTGTTCATCCAATCGCCCATCCACCTGCCTGCTGCAGCGAGCCAGCCACGTGCTCCTGCTGCTGCCAGGGAAATGAGCCTCAAGGCCCTTCCTTGACACCCCCCACCACACACACACTTCAGACACAGTGGCGCCCACAACAGACCCCTGGGGGCTCTGGTGGGACACCACACATACTTCCGAAGAACTGGGCCTCTCATCTCACCTGGGCCAACCTGGGAGCCTTCTTTTGCCTTCCTGCCTTTGTCATTTGTATTTTACTACGGACAATTGCTGTTCCTCGTGGTCCCTGTAGGACCATCCTTCCTGCATTCCACAGGTTCCTGGTGCTCAGGAGGCATCTCCAAGGTCCTGGGAATCTTTCTGGGCTCTGATATGGACTGGAATCGCAGCTTTGGTCTCCGCCACATTTCCACTGCAGGGAAGCAGAGGGAGGAGGAAGAATTCATTAGAAAATGAGAGCGAATTTCTCTTTGGAAGAGCAGCTTCCCCTACCCACCAGTCTCTGATCACTCCTTAAGCATTTAAAATAAACAAATACACCTACACAGACATTTCCTAGTGTGAAGCTTAGCTTCCTGGAAATACCTCTCAGGTTGCATACACATGAAATTCATGCACCTCAGCTGCACAGCCTTATCACAGTCAATGGCAGTCTGCCTCAGTAGAGGCCTTGAGGTACGTTTCATAGTGTGTGTGTTTTTTTAATATATTTATAAATTTTATCCCAAAAATACATATAAATGAAAACCTGCTCTTCAAATGCAGGGAGGCCTTTGCCTAACATTGTCATATGAAAATCAGTATTAGCTCTTTAACACACAATTTACATATATACATACACACATACACACATACATACATACATACACGCTATATGTAAGCAGCTAACGCTTTTCTACTTACACATATTCCTCTGGTGGAAAACTAGGAAACTAGGAAATTCCCCTGCTTTCCAGCCTTGGGAAGGTAAATACAACCTCTCTGAACAATCTTTTGAAGGACAAAATGTGTAGAAACACGTAAACAACACAACCTGCTTTAGACATATACACGTTATCAAACTATGGACCCTGTCACATGAGTGACAGTGTATTTCTCAGAGAGAAAAAAAGGAGATAACATTTGAATAAAAACACGAAACTGAAGTACAGTTAATATGATCAAAATTGTTATGTACATGCTCCATGGAGAAATCAGGAATTCTCTCAAAGAACAGATCCATGGCCAATTTCAGTCATTTGTGACGCTGAATCAACACCCATTGGTAGCAACCGCAATCCTTCTGTACAGTCATGGGCTTAAGCAGGGGCCATAAAGCATCTGTTTAAGTTAAACAGTCAATAATGCTTACTGACTGCGTACATTCGCACCCCCACCCCCAAAACACTAAGTGCAAAATCAACTTCTACGCTCAAGAGCTCAACCAGGTCAAAGCTTTGGTATATACTGGAGTTGTTTGGTGATAACTAAAGCTTAGTAAGATTCTCTGCTCAGGGGTTTGCCACAAAAGAAAAACACCTGGTCCACAAAGCTTAACATCTCTATAAATAAAGTAACTCTACAAAGAGAACAAGCCAGGATTTCCCCTTAACCAAGGGTTCATCGTTTCCTAGGCAGCAGTTCTGAAAACACCAGCTTCCACAAGGCTTCTACTAAAACATGATGTGCTGTCATCGGTGAGACTGTCTTGAAAACAAATGCCAGCAGGCATGTGGCCAACGTGCCACAGAAAAAAAATTAACAAAACATTAGTCAGTGTATTTAAATGGTAACACAATCGGGTCAGCAACATAGGAAAAGATTTAAGGCAATAAGAGGCATTACAGAGAGCACTGTGGCTCTCTGAGTCAGTCAGATCCTTCCAAGAAGGAAAGCCTGTCTCAGTTTGTGTTCTTAGTTTGCTAGCTGTCAGACACTTCTTCCTCCTTCTCCTCATCCTCGTTGTCTTTCCTGTCTATTTCAGAAGTGTCTGAGGACTCATGGAGCAAGACGTATTCTCTGCTACTGAACCCAAATTTGAGTACATCCTTTTCTTTTAGTTCATAGTATATCTGTGGCTCAATACGTTTGTTGTTTAAGAAAGTTCCATTGCCTGAGCCAAGGTCACTGATGTAGGGCTTCACTCTTCGGCCAACCGTGCCATCAGCACGGGTATATTCCACAAGCCAATGTTGAAAGACCACATGCTGCTTTGAACAAGAAGGGCGAATGTCTTGTTCAAAGCGAATGGATCGGAATGTCTGCAACACGGCGGTGTCCACCGAGTAGGTATGCACTCTGTCGATGTATGTACATGACTGGCAGCACCTCATCATTTTTAAACAGGTGGAGACGCCACTATTTTCTGGGGATATGTGTGTGCTTCTGGGGGCTCTCTATATTTAATGACTACACCCCAGAAAGTGTTGGTGTCCTCAAGAAGCGCCCCAGAAAGTTCAAAGCTTGGTTTTTCTTTAACAGGCACCTCTTTTTCTTTGTTGCTGCCACCAGGCCAAGGAAACAACTCCTGAGACTCACTGTCCCCACCACCAGTGTCACTCCTCTGGCGATGCTCCCCGCCTGGCATTACAAAACTCCCACTCGTCTTCCTGAGCCTGCAGGTTCTGAGTGTCTCCATCCAGTCCCTGACCCTGCCCACTCCCAGGCCTCCCGTTAGACGTTCTCCTTCGGTGGGAATGGCCCCGGTGTCTGTCCCGGTCACTCTTCCTAGCTCTCCTATGTTCCCGTTCCCACGGTTCCCTGTGCTGCCAATCCTCCCGTCCTACCTGGCGATGATCCTCACGCTCCTGCTTCACTCTGACTGTTGAGTGGTGAGGACTTTGGGTCCTCTTACTCCGAGCAGACTTGCTTCTTCTCCCTGGGGACTTGTTTTTCTTTTTGGGTGGGGACCAGCCAACTCCTCGGGCTCGGTTCCCACAGTGGCCCAGGCGGCCCGGCTCGCTGGCTACCGCCCAGCGGTCCAGACAACAGTGGGCAGGAGGAGCGGCTTCTGGGCTCTCTCACGAAACCACGAACTCCCTGATGGTAGAGAGTGTCTCGGCTTAATTTCTCTCTTTAAGATAATTGGGGTGTACAGTACAGTGGGCAGAGGGATCGGTGGTGGGGGTCCCCAAGACTACCCTCAGGTTCAGGGACACTTCAGAAAAACTGGCAGAATTCAGAAAAGCTATTCTACACATGGTTATAGTTCATGACAGCGAAAGGACACAGAGGACAATCAGCAGAAGTAAAGAGCACATTAGTCAGGCCAGGCACGGCGGCTCACGCCTGTAATCCCAGCACAGTTTTGCTCTGTCGCCCAGGCTGGAATGCAGTGTCCTGATCTTGACTCACTGCCACATCAGCTTCCAGGGTTCAAGTAATTCTCCTGCCTCGGCCTCCCAAGTAGCTGGGAGTATAGGCACGTGCCACCATGCCTGGCTAATTTTTGTATTTTTAGTAGACGGGGTTTCATCTTCACCATGTTGGCCAGCTGGTATCGAACCTCTGACCTCAGGTCATTCATCCACCTCGGCTTCCCAAAATGTTGGGATTACAGTCGTGAGCCACCATGCCTAGCCTGGGTTTCTTTATAAACATGTCTTTAACATTTTACCACCTTGGAAATTTTTTTCTTTTTACTATAAAAAGCATATACCTCTAGAAATTATGAGATGATATATTCATAAAATGTGCTAATCTGCTACAAAATGCCGGCATATGACAAACAATTCACAACTGTCTACTTCCTAGTTTTCTCTGCAAAATAAACGTTATGGATAAAAATTATATGTAAATGAAACTACTAGAAATAAGGGTGAAAAGAAACAGATTTGAGAGAGGGCCCAGTGGTTCACACCTGCAATCCCAGCACTTTGGGAGCACTAGGTGGACAGATCACCTGAGGTCAAGAGTTCAAGACCAGCCTGGCCAACATGTCTGGCCAACATGGTGAAACCCTGTCTCTACTAAAAATACAAAAATTAGCCAGGCATTGTGGCACATGCCCCCAGCTACTTGGGAGGCAGAGGTTGCAGTGAGCCAAGATCATGCCATTGCACTCCAGCCTGGGCAATGAGAGGGAAACTCCATCTCAAATAAACAAAACAAACAAACAAAAAACAACTTTGTATGTTATGCAAAGGATACAAGGAATGTAAGATGGGTTTTCGTTAAGGGAAAAAGAGTATTTTTTCCTAAAGTGATTGTAATAGTGGTTATTTAAAGATTGTGCTAGAAGAAGAAAGAGAAAAGTATACAATTAAATGGATAAAGAGAAAGAGAAAAGAGAAGGAGAATCTTACCTCACGTGGTCAAGCTGATCAAGATGAAGCGGATTTACTTATAAGGTATTAGAATGAGCCTTAATGTCAATAGTGCACTGATGCAAAATTAGAGTTTGGCTTTCTCTCTCTTAAAAATGACAATATGGGCTGGGTGCAGTGGCTTAGACCTGTAATCCCAGCACTTTGGGAGGCTGAGGCAGGTGGATCACCCAAGGTTGGGAGTTTGCAACCAGCCTGGCCAACACAATGAAATCCTGTCTCTACTAAAACACAAAAAGTTAACCAGGTGTGCTGGTGGGCGCCTGTAATCCCAACTACTCAGGAGGCTCAGGCAGGAGAATCACTTGAACCTAGGAGGCAGAGGTTGTGGTGAGCCAAGATCATGCCACTGCACTCCAGCCTGGGCAAGAAAAGAGAAACTACGTCTCAAAACAAAAAACAAAAACAAACAAACAAAAAAAGACAACATATTTTGGAATTATTAGTCTGCTTCTAATAAATGGTCATAATAGATTTTCTTTACTTTTTAAATAATCCATCTAGGAAATAGATTCTGTGTTTTATCAGAATAATTGGTTGTGTTATCTTTATCATCTCCTCAATTATTTAAAAGGAGTGAATTTTCTCCCTTTTAAAAGCTAGGCTTTGGGGCTGGGTGCAGTGGCTCACATCTGTAATCCCAGCACTTTAGGAGGGCTAGGTGGGAGAATTACCTGAGACCAGGAGTTTGAGGTTACAGTGAGTCAAAATCACACTACTTCACTCCAGCGTG